CAATTAGAGCTCTATTCAAGATTATACGCATTACCAGGCCAGAGTCTTGAGCTCTAATCAAGTTTTGACTCAATATAGTCCATTCATATTTAAGTCCCATAACATTTTATCAGGCCTCTCCCACTAGGCATTCAGAAGATAAACCCTCTCAAAGAACTGGGTAGCAGGGTCTACCTCCCAGTCACATACAGATGTTCTAAGCAGAGGTTTTCATGCAAACCCAAAAGGGAAAAGTAATCAAAACTGAGGTCACCATATGAAACTTTAACACTGCACAGTATTCTCAAAATGTCACACTAGTCCCTTAACTGACTTAATCTCAAAAATTTGGGAAAAGAACCCCGAAATTGGAAAATGGATTCCACATTTCATCAACTAGCGTTCGGTACAGTTTTCCATCCAACTACGGAAACCTATATTTACACTCAATTAACTTTATTCAAGTTCAAAACCTATAATTACATTAAATTATCTATCTACAAATAAACCCCCTCTGTCCCAATTCAAGAGATCTTGCTTGATTTTTCAAAGGAACAAAATCTTCTTCCCAAACAATCGACATTGGCTTTTGCATTTTTTTCATATTATAAGTTCCCAATAAACTAGGAGTCCAAGCAAGATTGCAGCATTACATTCAGTTCATCGCTGCATTGAATGCAACTAGATCCGATGCATCAACAATTATAACCATAACTTTATACCAGTAACAATGCAACATACAAATTACTGTTAACCTAAAATCCAAGTTTAAGAAACAGTAATCTTTGTATATTTGTGCTCAGGAAAAGGTAAGTTCAAATAAAATAGTCAGAGGGGGAGGGGGGGTGCGGCTAATAAAATGGTATTATATTTTGCTCACGTCATAAGCTTAGAAATCATATCGAAGGACAATGCAGTGCAGTGTTATCAAGAAGTATACCAATGAAGTGGAAGTGGTATCATATTTTGCTCACAAGCCCTCAACTTTTTCATTGCACGATGCAGTGTTATCAAGAAGTATACCAATGCGCTTTGGCAGCATGAAATTGCAAACATAGAATAGAACTCGTGAACCTTCAAACAAATTTCAGGATAACTAGCTCTGTTTCTGATGATGTGGCTCCAATGCTGATGCCTAATGCAAATCCTTACATCATGAATTGTATCTATGCCACCAGCACAAGGTAAACTTACACTTGAGCACTAATATAGCACCATGGCACAAAAATCCCAACCAAACATGACAATTTAATCAAGCACTAGTTCGGCACGATATCACAAGGGCTTGTGTGATCTAAGAAGTATTTTTCTATACAACATGATTGTAGAATTTGACACCACGTGCACTAGGAGCCTACCAAACTCAAGCAGTCATTGAATGCTATTGCTACCTAATATCACGTGTCCTCGAGTAGAAAAAATTAGTGTACTGTAAGTTGATACAGTATTCAGTCCAAATTTTAAAGTTATCTTATCTGTAATGGCAAAAGCACTGACCTTTGGAAGATATGAAAAGATGCCCACTCTTGAAAATCTGTAAAAATCAACAAAAGTTTCAAAATTACAGAGATTGAAAACAAACCCCAATAATTTCTGAAACTTAAAGGGTAGAAAGGTCAAAATAAATTCAGTGACAAGTTTTCAACTTTGTTTCTAAAATACTTCAACAAATTTGACTTCCATTGACACAACATTTTCTTCTCTATTTCTTCCCACTTAGATTAAAAATTCAAAAAAAACAAAAAAACAAAAAACAAAAAAAAAATCGACCGAGAAAGAAGCAGTAAGGACAATGATTTTACCGTATTTGAATTTCCAATGAAAGGGCGTTCAAATGTGGCAACAGAAGCGGACATTTTTCTCTGCTCCTCAGCAATCAAATTAACATCTCAACTCAAAATCAAATACTGAGTCCACTCCCAATACAAAACAAACTCAGGCAGAAGAATCAATAGGGATCTTCAAGATGGAAACGGATTAACTATAATATACGGGATTTTTTTATTTCTCTTTTTTGGGTTTTGCAGAAAAATTGAAAATTGTATAGATGAAGCAACAACAGCAATGAACCAATGCTGCTCCTTTCACACCTTTCTCTTGTTCTTTTGTTGGGTTGGGGATGGGGTATCGGGGTATTAGGTGGGATGGTAATGTGGTAATGGTTGAAGGAGTGGTTGTAGACTTGTAGTTTTTATACAGGTGTTTTTGTTGCTTTACAACTATTGTTATGAAATTAATTAATTTTATCACTTCTTTCATCAATTTATATCAAAATTTATTAAAAATTTAATTTTAATTTCCATCAGATAAAAACCTATTTTTTGTCTTCACTCATTTATTATTTTATAAAAATGTATGTTTTGAAAAGTTTACTTGAATTAAAGCTTGTTTGGGAGTAATTTTGAGAATTAATTGTTTGACCGTTAGAAGAAAAATAGGGTCCACCTGTAAGAGAAGAAGTCAAATATGACGGCTGAAATAGTGAAATAACGATAAAAAAATCAATTTTTTGATGGAAAAATCGGGCCCAAACAGGCTCTAAACTTGTTGGAAATTGAATATTTGTAAATTGTTTTTTTTTCATTCTTTCTAAATCATATACAATTCTTCTAAAAAGGAAAATTACTTTTATGTTTTCCTATGATTTTTCTTATTTTATAATCAAAAATAATTTTTAAAAAATAATTTTCAAATAATCACTTACACAGAAGCACTAAAATTTTGAATAAGTAATTTTGTTTTGGACAAATTTGAAAGTAAATGAGTTAATTATTTTTTCAAAAATATTTTTTTCTACATATTCATTTTAAATCATACATTCAGACATTCAGCTCTATTTGATAAGAATTAAAATCAGATTTTTAAAAAAAATTGATGAAAATTTGTGGATTCTATAAAACTATCTAGTCAAAATTAATTGTTGTTTACTTAATTTTGACTTAGATTAAAATTTTAATTTTAATTTTCATTAAACAAGGACTTAAAAAATATTTTTCACAGTTTCCCTTCTTGCTTTTTTAAATAAGTCATCTCCAAAAATTCACTTTTCATATAACCACTTCTCAAAAAATCAACTTCACACGAGGATAAAATTATCCAAACATGTTTCCTTTTTGGGAAGAAAGTATAAAGTATTTAATTTACAAACTAATAGAAATGGATGATGAATAAATTGATGGTACTTGTGAGTTCACATTAAATGTATAATTAAAATGAAAAATCAACAATTAAAAAATAGACTCGAGTTATACCATATGAAAATCATGAAGTCTCTATTTTTCAAACATACAAATAGTTTATAACCGTGAATAGTAGGAGGAATAATAGTGGATGCAACGAAATATGTTGATAACAATAAAGTAATATTTTTGAATGTGCGTTTAAAATTAGTGTTTGATTTTAACCGAATTTTTAAATAGTATTCAAATAGAACAACATCCCACTTGGTATCATCATATTCATCCATTTTAAAAACTATTTTCTACGTCACACAAACTTGAATTTTGACAACACGTGATTGTTAACCATTGTTGTCAACCAATATTGTATGCTTAGCTTTACTCGAAATCCGATGCTCTTACAAATAATTGTACATGGCTTTTACTAATTTGGAAAATAAGTGGAAGCCTAATTACGCACAGAGAATCAAAAGAGAGGTAAATTGTAATGAATAAGCCCTTATTTACCAAAATACATTTTGGAATAGTATTTTGTTGAAAAATGTATGATTGAAAAATAAGTAAAAATTTCAATTTTACGTGTAAAATTATTTAATGGGAGAATGTGTTGATGAATACATTTATGTTTGATCATGAATCCTTTTAATTGGATCTAAAATAATAAAAAGTTTTATGGTGCATTGTACGATTTTTGACTCATTTTAACTATGCACAATCAGACTGGTTCTTGATTTTCTTGACGAACTCGTCAATTCAATCCAATTTTGACGGCATTGATAAAAATTAAAAAAAATATATTTAAATTAATCCCAATTAGTGGTGTACTGTCCGGTAGGTGGAAATTACTCATCGTCAGGCAATAGCCAAGGCAGCAGTGGACCACGAGTGATGAGTGAATAGGGGGCATTCCAGCTCTCTCATCTCGCCAATTGGGAATTTTCAAGCAAGAATAATTTTCCTTCTCCTATGATGGGTCAATTTCTCTTTCTATCCTTACCTAGTTTTTTTTTTTTTTTTTTTTTTTTTTTTTTTTTTTTTTTTTTTTTTTTTTTTTTTTTTGGGATGTTTGATTGTGGGATAATAAAAAAACGTAGACGATGAAAAATTTGTTAGTTGTTAAGAAATCACTTGGAATAAATTAATAATACCGCTTCAAAATTTGGTGATGGCCGAGTATGGCTATATGAAGAAAGAGGTGGAGAAGCGAGTTGGTTATAGGATAAGCTTTCTAAAATGTGGTATGGTGATGGCGATGGCTAGTAAGGATTTGGGTACCTAAAGCCTGTATGGTTAGCGTTTATAGTTTAAATTATAATCAGATAAAAATTAATATAGAAAAAGTGAGCTATACTTGTAAATTTTAGAAATGAGTAACATTACTTGTACATGATTATCTACATGTTGATGTAGAAAAAAAAAAAAAAAAAAAAAAAAAAAAAACCATTT